GAAGGTTTACTAGGGCTCCAACGTCCCTCAGGGTAATAGACATTGGGTGAAGGGGAAAGATAAAAGCATTGTACTCAAAAGACCAAAAACTCAAAGTTATGGGGAAAAGCACAGGGTCATAAACTAGGGAACGGAGTGCGATTTCTAATAAATCTGAAATCCCTGCAAGATCACAAAAATTGCTTTAGTAGGGCCATGATTTACCATACGAAAAGTAGTATCAATTTTAGGTCAGGTACGAATGCCTTTCTTGCGGATCGGCTTCAGAGGTAGAAAGTAGGGACTTGAATGCAAGGGAATAGCTGACCCACCGCCGCTTGTCCAACAGATTCAGCATCATTAAACGACGGACCCAGATAAAATTCATGGAGATCAGGGTTGGCTGGTGAAAAAAAAGTTGAATTATATACGGCTTAGTAAGGAGGTTTTGGATATCCTCGAAACTAAGAGAGTTGTCGGAAGGAGTTTGTGAAGTCGCCATTTGATACAAAATGCAGTCTTTGTGAAGGTTACTTAAGAAGCGTAGCAGAGAAGCAAGAAGATTAACGGTGAATAGTGAGAAAGAAGCGCTCAATGTAAAGACGTAGGTGTAATGGCGTGATAAAGTGGCGTGTCCTTTGGTTTATAGAGGTTGTGTGATGTTACACTTTTCAGGATGTAGAGGGTTACCGCCAAACGGAAATAATAGTTGGAATTCGCCGCCATTTTGGGATTTCAAGTATTGCTGTAAAATACAAAGGAAGAATATGGTAAAGATTAATTGTTGATATTAATTTTACCATATTTTAGGGGTAATTGTTGACATCCAAAAAATGGTGCCCAATTAAATGGTCTAAGAAGTGGAGCCCAATTAGGGAATTTGAGGGATATGCTCAAATGAAACCATTGTAAAATATAGTTGAGGCCCATAAACGGAAGACTATCATCACCCAAACCTGTAAGACGCCCAGGATCTGAGGGAATGAAGTACCTTATTGTCGCTCAGAGCAACAGTCCCATTCTCGCCCAAGCCTTCGAGACACCCAAGATCTGAGCAAATATAGCGTCTTCTTGTTATTTAAAGCAACGGTTATTGAAGCAGTTATTGAGCAATCTTATCACATTTCACAATCTAAGAATTTTGGTTGCAAGCAGTTAAAAGAGGGGAGTAATAGCAGTAGTTTAAAAACAGCGGTTCCTTGACACGTCAGTCATTATGAAGCAATTAGGTAATTATAGAGCGACAAGCAGTTTCCAAACGGTTTTACAAGGAAAACTGGAAAAAGAGTACAAAAGAAAAAAGAAGACATAGAAGGAAGGACCCCGAATCAATCACTCTCAAACGGAGAATTATGTAATTTCATTTCGTTTAGTTCTTATTGTCAACTTTCAAGTTACTTTGTGTGCTTGTGCCCTTTGGACGCGTTTTGCTTCTTTCTAATTGTAATCTTCATAAATAGAACACCCATCGTTGGAACTTTGTCTTGAGAGGTTTGTTCCTTACACAATTGTCTGAACCATCTTTTAATTGTTAGCAATGCTCGATAATCCGCGCTAAACACTTTCTTTAATTGAATCCATAGCTAGTTGTTCTCCTCAAAATGGTTGAGGCTGTGCTGTAGATGTCAAAGGATAAAACATCGTTGAGGTGTAGATGTGTTGAGGTTGAGATGTAGATGTCTAAGGATAAAGCATCGTTGAGATGTGGGCTGCGTTGACTCTACAAAATATTTGATTTCAATTTGTTCACAGTATTAATTGTTGGTTATTGATATTTCATTAGAGCCAAAGAGTTTCGATCTTGTCTTCACTATTTCCTCACGACACAGTTGGGTCTATTGCGTGAGCTCTCTTTATCTACGCAAACATTGCTAGAGATTGTTTCTTCGATCAATGAATTTGACATATATATTTAACAAAAAGTAATTTAAGCTAATCTAATAATCTAGATCTATTAATATCTTTGTTGGAGTGTGTTTAAATGTGGGAAAAATAACTATTAAAATGATTTTATAAATAAACGCCGTGATTTTTTTTGTCAAATTTATTAGTCAACAAGAATGATCCCAATATTGTTTTAGATAATGTAGAAGTGTAGTTTATATTAAATTATAATGTATTCAAAATAAATTGATTGATTTTAAAATAAACAAATTGTTATATATGAGGATGAGACACGCCAATCCCAAGCTCCCCCTTTTTTCTCCCTCAACTATTCTTTCTTCAACACAATAAAAGTTGATTCTCTAAAAAATATAGTGATATTAAACGAAGCATAATTAATTTAAGGAAAAATTGCAGTCACGGTATCAAACCTTTCACGTTTTTGCAGACTTTGCCCAAACATTTGATTTGTACCACCCACGGTACCAAACATTTCCAAATGTAGCAGCTGGAGTCCAAATGGATGGAAACCAAGTTGACCAAAAATTAAAAAACTGACCAATTGTTGACTAATTCTTAAAGGGTAAAATGGTAACTTTCCCTTTTTTCATATAAAAAAACTAAAAAAAAAAAAAAACCCTATTATCACCCCACCCCACCTCCACCCAACCCCAAACCAAAACCAAAATTGCCCATCCCGATAATAATCTCCCAGAAATCAAAACTAAAATCATCAATTCTCATTCCCATAATTGCAAATAGAAAATTTCCTTCTTCTTCAACAGATTAATAGTTAAACTACAAATTAAAGCTGCAATAATCAGAATCAACCTCAACAGTCGAAGAATCGAAAGTGTACTGAACTTTATTTTCTTGTAATCCTCCGGCAAATCTTCATCTAGAAATGGGTCCTCTTCATCGATTTCACTTCCTTTACCTAAAAATTGAGATTTTGTGGTTCTCTGATTCTGGGATTTCTGATTTTTCTCCGATGGATCGAATAATCGAGACTTGGTTTTGGTTCTAAGCAAACTATATTTTCTCCAGAAAGAAGAGTTGGAGTTGCAGACTAGAACATCCTCGTGTTCAGCCTCATGTTTTTCTATTAATGTAGTGGTATATAATTTAGGGAAAATTGCAGCTGAGGTTGCGATGGTGGGAGGAGGCGACGACAGTCGTGGTGGTAGGAGGATGAGGTTGTGGAGGCCGGGCATTCTTTTGTTTTTTTCTTTTTTCTTTTTCTAATTATTATAATTATTTTATATTAAATTGTAAAATTACTATTTTACCCTTTTAAAATTTGATCAAATCTACTATTCTTGGTCAACTAACGGTCAAATGGAATGGTTTCCATCCATTTGGACTCCAGCTGCTACATTTTGAAAGGCTTGATACCGTGGGTGGCACAAATTAAAGGTTTGGGCAAAGTCTGCAAAAAAGTGAAAGGTTTGGTACCGAGTCTACAATTTTCCCTTAATTTAATAACTGGTTGTCGACTCAAAAGAAAACCCTAAGCCAATATGACACAATAAAATTATTTCTAAGTAGTAATCAATGTGCTCACACTCATGTGTTCGTACTCGAAAATAGGTTAGAAGATTGGTGGTGATCGTCCAGATCGTAATAACGAGTCAACTACGCTGATCACCTTTCAAAGGTAATTAGCCTAGATTATAGTAGTTTAATGAATATTTTGCCTTTTTTCTGCTTTGATTTGTACAATTTATGAAATTCATTTTGGACTATTTCATCTCTTGTCTCGTTTTGTCTATTCGAATTTCGTTTGTGAAGGTCTCTACATTACCTATGAAAGAATGCCACTTTTCTATTATTTGGCGATGCATATCATGCAAAAGTTAATAGTTGGAAACATATTGAAATTTTTTAAATAATAGAAAAGTTCACAATTGTGGGTTTTTCTAAAACTAAAAATCTATTGATAAATAGCTTAGAGATACCATAATCTCCTTGACAAATTTTATGGCTTCGTGTCAAAACTCTTCACATTCTCGACTATTCTTAAGCACTAGGTGGAGTTAGGCTGTCACACTCCTAAGTTTTAAAATTTGCATATTTTTGCTTTTGTTTTTTTTATAAATAACAGTAATTTTAAAAGCATAAATAGTTTAACAAATTTAATTTATCAAAGAAAACACCATCAATAAATAAATTAATAAAAATGTAAAAATTAAATACTCTGTCCGGAAAATAGAAAGTATAAATCATTGGCGAAGGTCAACAACGGTATCCCTATTAGTAATGTTAAAGATTGAAAAGTCATTGGACGAAAACGGTCCCCTCGGCCAGATATCCTAAGACACCCAAATGATAAGCAAGATTTTTGTGGCCAATTCTAACCTAATCCCATTTTGGTCAACTCAAATATTTTTTGACTCGATTGCAAAAGGCCTTCTTTTATGGTTTTTGATTATGTAACAGTTATAAAATTGTCTGAGATGGTCGACTTACGATCATTGTCCGAGATGCTCAGCCGACAACCGGTGAAAAGAGGGGTTCAAACAACAGTTGGCTTTTTTCTTGTCATCCTCGTTTCAATAGCTGCAATAACCAGATGGATCAATGTTGTAAGTCATTTCTAGTTTCATCTTTGATTGTAAATTTTCCGTTTTCTTTTGCTTCCTTTTATTGCATATTTGATACATTGGATTAGAGCCTAATCGTACTGTAAACTCGTCCTTAATAATGGATGGAATTTTAAGAGATGGATTTTTTGTGTGAGTGAGAGTCATGTGATCACTTCATACTTATCTTCTTCGTTATAGTGAAAACTGCGGTGGTGAAGTGGACTTAGCTCTCACTTTATATGGCGTTTTTTGGCGTTTAAGTTTCTCGTTATTGTCCTGTGCAATAATGTCTAGTATTCTGCATTTCTTCCTTCTTCTGATGTTTCAATCTTTCAGTCTATAATGACAGGTCCACTTCAGAAGAAATTTCTACTCCTAGGAACATCTCATACATATTCATCAGAAATTGATTGTTCCCTCAACTGATCAGACATTTCCCCTTTGACAAACATTAGTACAGACAACAATCAACCCTCAGAATCATGTCCAGAATACTTTAAATGGATTCATGAAGATTTAAAACCATGGAAAGTTACAGGAATAACAAAGGAAATGATCGAAAAGGCGAAACAAAAAGCACATATAAACATAGTCATTATGAATGGGAGAATGTATATAGAAAAGTTTAAAGAGGCATTCCAAACTAGAGATACTGTGACAATATGGGGGATTTTGCAGCTTCTTAGGTTGTACCCTGGGAAGCTACCGGACTTGGATTTAATGTTTGAATGTGGTGACACGCCGAAGATCCGAAAACAAGATTATGCAAGATCAAATGCTGCGTATCCTCTCCCGCCCCTGTTTCATTACTGTGGAGATGACTCGAGTTTTGATATTGTTTTTCCCGACTGGTCCTTTTGGGGTTGGTAAACATTTTATCCTCTCATATAAAGCCTTGTTGAACCATCGCATCTATAAATTTAATCTAATATATTGTATGCATTTATTGGTTGGTCCTACTACTCCTTCGAGCACATTTTGATTTATTTTATATCTTTTATCTTCAACTCCTCCCCTTATGCATAAATTAAATTATTTTTTTCACCAGAGACATGCTATATTTTACCTTCCTAGAGTCTTTGGTGTGGATTAGTTTTATGAAAATTATTAATTGTATGCATTTCGTCATGAGCTATTGCTTGTTCAGTGTTCATTTCATCTAAAAGTTTAAACTGGCGGATAAACGAAAAATAATTTATTTAGGTATGTCTTCAACAATCCCCCACTTCGGATTCGTTATTTATTTATTCTTTTTCAAAGACCCGGCACTTGCATATAATTTTCATAAATGAATGACCTTGAGACTCAATAGACATTGTATGTTTTGTTGATTATGCAGGCCAGAGCTTAATATCAAGCCATGGGATATCTTGAAAAAGGACTTGCAAGAAGGCAATAGTAGAATCAAATGGAGTGACAGGGAAACTTATGCTTATTGGAAAGGTAACGCCAAGGTATCCGCCGCGAGATACGAGTTAGTGAAATGCAATGCCTCTGAATGGAATACTCGAATTGACCAAGTGGTAAGAAAGGATTCCTACTTCACGTATGGGATGTTTTTCAGTTTTTCTTCGCCTGTTAGCTTAGCGAGATGCATAGGATTTTCATCAGCAAGTAACGAGTACTAGAATTCAGAATCTACCTACTCTAATACCATTTTGTGATAATCTCCGTAACTAGGAATATTAGAAGAATTTCTAAAATCAGAAGAACAAGTTCTTTCGTTGACCTTTCTGAAAGATTCTTCCATTTCACGGGACTCAATGATCCTTGTCTTCCGATAACATTCATGAGTCGCCACCTTTACAACACTATTTAGAGATGTTGATAATTTCTATGTTACAGGATTGGGGACATGAGATAAAACATGGATTTGAAACTGCAGATTTAGCAAGCCAATGCACTTATAGGTATGCATGAATTTGACATAACTTTCTTAATTTATTTATTTTTTTTATTATTCTTTACTGATTTAATTTCTTCATATGATCATATGCAGATACAAAATTTATGCTGAAGGGGTGGCATGGTCTGTTAGTGAAAAATACATTTTAGCATGTGATTCTATGAGTCTGATGATAAACCCTCATTACTAAGATTTTTTCACAAGAAGTTTGCTTCCCACAATCCATTACTGGCCAATTAATGAGAAAGACAAGTGTAAATCAATCAAATTCGCAGTCGAATGGGGTAACAAACATATGAAAAAGGTGACTTTGTTGTCTACCTGTACTAAACACATCGCATCATTTTTGCTTATATATTGTTTATACATTGTAGCTACTACTATGAAAGTCAATATTTAATGACTATCACTTGACGCCCAGATAGAGAATGTCGGAGAGTAGAAGAGTAGAAGAAATGACGGAAAACGAGATGACTTTGAGAAATAATAAGAACTACAGTTAGACTCGATAGGATGTATGGCTAAACTTAAAATGTTTACTTACAAGTAAGTCTACATACAATTAACATAAATAGTTTATAATAGTTCAAATTGGAAAAATGAGTTACATAATTTTTGCAGGAAAGAGCAACCTTCCAAGAAAGTGACTTTTGTTACTTAAAAGCAAGAAAAAGTAACTTACTCAAATTTGAGCTTAGCTATAACGCTCTCAATCTTTTCTCCTAAATCACTCGTGTTCTCTCTTTGCCTTCACTCTTATCTCTCTTCTAATTTCTCTTTCTTGTTGTGCATCAAGGGATGAAAGCCATCTAAAAACATTCTTATGCAAAGTTACAAACGATACAAGATATTCTTATTCTTCTGTTACTTTTTTGACTGTCGAACTGTGCAGGCACAAGAGATTGGAAAAACAGGGAGCAAATATGTTCAAGAACAACTGAGAATGAAATATGTTTATGACTACATGTTTCATTTGCTAAATGAATATTCTAAGCTTCAGAAATATAAACCAACTGTACCAAAAGGGGCTGTCGAAGTGTGCACAGAGACAATGGTTTGTTCTGTCGAAGGTTTGATGAAGAAATTTAGGATTGATTCAATGGTAAAAGATCCTGCAGATTCATCTCCATGCACAATGCCTTCCTCCTATTATCCTGCAGAACTTGAAGATTTTCTTGAAATGAAAGAGAATCTAACTAAGCAAGTTAGAATGTTGGAAGAAAATGAAAGTATTGGAATCTCAACCATTAAAATTTGAGGGGGTGCACAATGCTGCATTGGACTACACATTATAGTAGGCACGATATGAACTATTTTCTTTTGATATTATTTAAGTTGAGTATCACATACAAAACTATTTCTCGAGTTGCTTACTATTTCTACATGAAACAAGTATACGATCTCTATCCTGCCCACAGTGAGTAGAATAAAAACTTCTCTCTACTGACTTGACAAGAGAACAATCTTATAGTTTTATGCAATAGTTATACATTCAGAGAATTGTACTTATGGTTCTGTGCCACATTAACAGTAAAAATTTTATCCTACCACCAGTACTTATGGTTATTTGCTACCACCAGTACTTATGGTTATTTGCTACATCAACAGTGAAATTTGTTTATCGATGGTAGGTGATCTATTCTACTATAGATCAAAACTCTACAAGATTATTAGACATTTGCTACTCAAGTTAATTTTAGCAACGAGCCACTAAAGTTTATTAAAACTTTCAAAGTGGTTATTGAAGTATTTTTCTTACCCTGGTGCTAACTCAAGTTTATAATGGGTACACTAATGGTTGCTCGACTAGAAACATAAAAATCCCACATGGCAATTTCAGTACAAATGTAGACATAAACATCCTTAACTAGCCTGTTATGTCAAATATAATCGTAAATTTTTATAGAAATTAATTGAAAAATTCCTATAAATTTAAAGTTGTATATATGTGTAATGTGTTTCCACATCTGAATGTTTAATGCTATTAATCTCCATGTGAACATTCTTTCATAACTCCCTAGATTCTTATTCGCCAAGCTTCAAAGTCGTTTATGTCATGTTGGCATTTCAATGCGCTAAATAGGATTTTTTATTTTTTTTGGGGGTTAATATTTTTAGGATTATAAACTTGAGCGGCAATTACTATAAGAAGAATACCATTTTGGAAATTTTTAAAAAATGTTATCGTCCAATGATCGTTGCTAGAATTAACCCCTTTACTACTCATTCTCACCTTTCAGATTCCTTTTTTTTTTTTGGGTGATTTTCTTTTTGCTAATTTTTTTTATAATTTTCATAGTTGGATGTTAATGCAGATGATGATGATGATGATGATCGATTAATTAATTGTATTTAACCATGCAACATTGTTTTTTGGGAGGTCCGTCTATTAAAAGATGGAACAATGACTATGCATGGCTTTGGAGAGGTGATGAAGAGGGAAACGACGAAATAAAAGAAAATGAAACCAGTACCGGCTAGTAGATTTAAATAAATCTCAATCCAATTATAAATTTCAATCATTTTATTCTTTGTTCGCTTTCTGATGACATCCAAAAAATGAGGCCCTATTAAATGGTCCAAGAAATGGAGCCCAATTAGGAAATTTTGAGAGATGGGCTCAAATGAGACCATTGTAAAATATAGTGGATGACCATAAACGGAGGACTATCATTGCTCAAGCCTGCAGGACGCCTAGGACCTGAGCGAATAAAGTACCTTATTGTTGCTCAAAGCGATGGTTCCATTCTCGCACAATCCTTCGAGACGCCCAAAATCTAAGCAAATATAGCGTCTTGTTGTTATTTAAAGCGGCGGTTATTGAAGCAGTTATTGAGCAATCTTATCACATTCCACAATCCAAGAATTTCGGTTGCAAGCAGTTAAAAGAGGGGAGTAATTGCAGCAGTTTAAAAACGACGGTTCCTTGACACGTCAGTCATTATGTAGCAAGTGGGTAGTTATAGAGTGACAAGCAGTTTCCAAACGGTTTTTCAAGGAAAACTGGTTAAGGAGTATAAAATAAAAAAGAAAACATAGAAGGAAGGACCCCGAATCAATCACTCTCAAATAGAGAATTATGTAATTTCATTTCGTTTAGTTGTTATTGTCAACTTTCAAATTATTTTGTGTGTTTGTATCCCTTGGAGGTGTTTTTCTTCTTCCTAATTGTAATCTTCATAAATAACGCACCCCTTGTTGGGACTTTGTCCAGAAAGGTTTGTTCCTTACACAATCGTCTGAACCATCTTTTAATTGTTAGAGATGCTCGACAATCTGCGCGAAACAATTTGGCACACCCAGTAGGACATTGGTGTTTGAGGATGTAAAAACTGAATCAATACACCTCATAAGAATTTTGATAAAGAACCAGCAAGTCAAGGAGTAGTCCAGTCTATGATCGAACGATATGAGGAACAACAAAGTACTCCACGAACAGAGGGACAAGTCAAGGCAGTTAAGGTCGTTACGAGCCGATGACAGAATTGAGTCCTCGAACCATGCGTTCATTACTTGGGGAACTCACAGAAGACGTCGTTGAACAAGTAAATCTACGAAATGTTTATAATATAGAAAGATTTACTCAAAATGGAAATGTACATTATGACAACATGGCCGAACAACTAAACAAGTTAAATGAAATCATGAATAAGTTAATGGGTCAAATGTGACAACCAGTTGTACCGATAAGGAGCTACTTTCAAGCCAGAATGATTATGGGACATAATTCCCCAGTCCTGAATCCAAATCATGGAATAGAACCACCTTTTGGACCATCTACTTCAANCAGACCATATAAAGCTTTATTCAACCTATAAACATAATATGGATATTTAGGATCAATAAAATCTTTAGGTTGTTCAACATAGGCTTCTTCCTGAAGTATTCCATTTAAGAAGGCACTCTTGACATCCATTTGATATAATTTGGATCCTAAATTGCAAGCAACCGCCAGAAGAATTCTAATGGATTTAAGTCTAGCTACAGGGGCAAATATTTCATTAAAGTCAACGCATTCAACCTGAGTATATTCTTGGGCAACTAACCTAGTTTTATTTATAGTTATGGTACCTTGATCATCGGTTTTATTCTTAAATATCCACCTAGTACCTATAACATTACAATCATTGGGCCTATGAACTAAATCCTATACGTTGTTTCTCACAAACTGATTTACCTCTTCAAGTATCACATTTACCCAACATTCATCCCTAAAGGCATCTTCGACTTTCTGAGGCTCAATCTGAGACATATAACTAGCCTATGTCAGATTGATCAAAACCCTCTTACGAAGTCTCATCCCTTCATCCACATTCCCTATAATATTCATTTTAGGATGATTCATCTTAACTCTGGGCAAAGGTTCCTTACGAGGTTTAGGTCTATCATCAAGTGAGAAATCATTATTAGGTGTATCTAAACCATCAGAAGTGTTTGAAGGATCGGGAACTGAAGTTTCTTTAGGTTCTATTACCATGACGAGATCAACACTTAAGTGTTCTAACTCTATCCAATCTCCTACAATCTCCCCCTCACTACAAGTATCATCCATCGCTACATTAATGGATTTCATCACAACCCGCATATGAGAATTGTATATATGATAGGCTCGACTATTTTTGGAGTATCCTAGGAAAACTCCCTCATCACTTTTCGAATCAAACTTGCCCAATCTCTATCTCTCAGAATATAGCACTTGCTGCCAAACACACGAAAGTACTTGACAGTATGCCATTTACCTTTCTAGATCTCATAAGGTGTTATATCAATTTTAGGTCTAAGATAAACCCTGTTAACTATGTGACACGCAACCTCAATTTGCCCAACTTCGACCGCAGATTTTAAATATTAGTTCAATTTGAATTGTAATTTCCTTTCCATTATAATATTTATTTCAATTGTAAAATAGCTTTGACATTGGTAAACGTTTAGTATGATTTCTCGTCCTTTAAACGTCTACTCCTATCACTTTGATTTTTGTTCCGCAAGCTATTATAAGGGGTATTAATCTTTCAAAAATCTTTTAAGCTTTCTGGTGTTAGCCTACTGCACCACCACTGTAATTTCTTGCTTTCATCAATTGTAATTTCTAGTTTTCAAGCAATCAATGATCAATTTACTTTCAAT